TTGTTTCCTTTACCTTTTGAACATAATGACAATGCTGCTTAGGTTTTAGTTTGAGTGTTAGAGGAAACTAACTGAAATGTGAAAAACCAGTTTCCCCAAACAATCTATATATAGCAGGCGTTACTTAAGCTCTTCTGTGTCAAAAAACAAAACAAAACATAAAAAAACCCAAACAAAAAGAACTCCCACAACAAAAAAAACCTAACCCCCCAACCCCCCCAAATTGTAATTTATTCTCTTAGAAACATATATATAAGTTTTTACTTTCAAATTGGGAGCAGTGGTGCTCAGATAAGCACGATGTACCAGAAGAGAGGTGATATCTGTGCCACCTGTGCCACTGGAGATTTAAAAAGTTCCTCCTCCTGTGATACACACTATGCCTAAGGACACTGGTATGATACAGTGGCCACTGCAGTCAGTGCCAGCTTCAACTGACATTGGGTTTTTTAACAGCAGAATAACATCCTACCTATTCTGAAAGATCCCAAAGTCATTTTAACAAAGTAGGGGAAGCAGGTATGCTTGAAGTACCTGAGAAAGAACATGCAGAACAAGGGATGAAAACAACTTCCAGGCTTGCCTAGGCAAACCCTTCCAAATACCATGAAATCTTTTGGCCATAGAGACCAAACAGGGCCTTAAATTGTTCTTTGGTTTTTTAAAGAATCATTGTCAACTCAGTGTATACTTTGGAAAATGGAGATTCTGGTCCTTCATCTTACTACTTTACTATAAATCAAGTGACTGTAGCAAAATTAGGAAGACTGGACTTGCACAGTGTGGAAATCAGTTTTCAGAGAAGCAGCATTCAATATTATTACTTTAATGGATGAGGAGGAATGGAACTGTCTTACCATGTAAGACATGTAATTATTAATTAAATACATTAATTATATGTATATAATTTCTTTTAAAAATGGTAAAAGACCATATAGTCTTTTCTGCTAATTGTTATTTTTCACTTTAAACAACTTCATTAATTAAGAAAAAAAAAAAATTTAAATTAACTTCTGCCAATGAAAATACAACTTTTTATCATAAGAAAAAAATCTTCACATACTAGCTTTAGTGCTCTGGATATCATCAGAATAAAATTATAATAAAAACTATATATATGTCAACAAGAACTGGAAAGCTCTGAAGGAATCTAATGTACTTTTATGCAATATTTTTGCTTATTTCATCCCTTTACTTGATAATTTTTAATAAAGGAAATGCACTAGTCAAGTTCAAAGTTTTAGTCGTGTCTCATTCTTTGAATTACAATGCTTAAGTTAGGAATAGAGTAAGAGTCACAAAAGCATTTCAGTATAACTAAGGAAGTCAAGGGAACATTTATATATGTTTATTATTTTGGAGAAAAAGAAAGCAATCCAGTTAATCTCCATTATTTTACAAAATTTAACTTTGTGCTACCTGAAAACTGAATTGTCTCAAAGTTTTAGAAAGCTGGAAATATGGAACAACTTTCAGATCTCATATAAAAATGACAGCCTGTTTCTAACTTCTTCCATGACAAGGGACTGCTAGACCAAGTATTTGCTCCTTTTTAGCTGTCTGAAGAGCACTTGTGTAGCTGTAACATGTGCCCTCCTTTTGGTAGGTAGATCCTTTCCTAGGGAGCCAAAGATGATTTGAGAAGTATTCTGAATGTAGGGATTTAAATATTCCTTTGCTGCACTCACTGTGCTCGTACTTTTAACATTTTCAAGACTGAGCTATATAGCAATGCTGCTGTAGATGGAGTTTGTGTCCAGCCTACAAGAACAGCCTACTTTGCTACCGGGTCTACATCTCACCTACAGTACCATGTCACTTAAAGCTTACTAATGCAAAGCCTAGTATGATTTATTGTTATTTTACTTTATAAAGTAGTGGCATTGTTGGGCGTACAGTTTAAAGAATGTTGCCCTCTGTCATAAAAAGTAGTTAGCAACAGGGAAAGAAAAAAAAATAGTAGTCAAATAGCTGTAAACACTTGTTTAAAATGTATAAATGTTAAAATATGTAGTTATTAAGTATATTTATTTTCCTGGTTTTAATGCTTTCAACATTAGAACTCTTTCTTTTTTCCCCTTCAATCTACTTTTCATGGAAAAGGAACATTAAACTTTATTTTTCCACCTCTTTCTAGCTTTATTTTTCTTCTATCACTCCAAAGAGTTAAAGGCTTCCTCCCGTTTCCTCTGCCCATTTAACAGCTAATTGCAATGGTGACTGACACCTAACAGGAAAAAGAAAAGCAGTCTAGCAACTATGCACCTTCTCCTCACTCCTCTGTAGCCTCATGCAATTGTTTGATACCCAAAATAAAGGCAGCCATCAATAGCAGCCAGTCAGCTTAGTCTTCCTCTTTCTCTTCAAATAAACATTGCAACCCCCAACAACTCTGATGCAGAAAGTGCCCCAGCTCCCCAATTTCCAGGAGGAAGCAGGAAGTTTCCTTTCCTCCATTTCCTCCAGACTGCTCATTTTTTCACTTGAAAAGCAAGCTGGTGACTAATTATCTGTGCTTCTTGTGGCCCTCTTATTGCTCTCTCTGCATTTTCCCCTTTACATTCATTTAAACATATTTTCCTTATTTCATTTCCCCACATTGCATTCATTCTATGTAAGTTTTTTGTTAAACCAAAAGCTGTCTCACTTAGCCATTAATTTAGAATCCCAAAAATACTCATCAGGTTAATTAGAACATAGCCATATGCTACAGCCCCAGTCACTACAACTATCCCTCATGCTCAGCTGGATTAGGTCAGTCAGGGATTAGAACATTTTAATTATTCAGTGGAAATGGCTTCATACCGTTCTTGTAAAGGATGCCTTATACCAGAATAAAATCAACCCCCCATGTAAACTAGCCTGGACCGTGCCACTTTTTCCCTCTGGATTAAATCCACAATTCCGCTGACTGCATACAAGAAACAATTTTTGCTTGGTTTTTCCTATGTTCCTTTTCTTTCTCTCGTACATTGTAAGCGTTGCTTTCTGCTTTGAGCAATGCCCACGTGGTGGGGAACCCAGAAACCAGGCCAGGACAAGAATTTACTCACCAAGAGTATCTATTGGCCCTGCAGCAAAGCTCAAGACATACACTGGATCATCTTTTTCACAAGCATGGCACTTCATAAAACAACCCCTTTCCGAAGCTTGAATATGGAATTCTCCATGTGGAAGCATAAATTCGATATTAGCTTCTGAAACACGTTCTTCAACGGATGCTTGACAGAAAGCCTGGAAAAATCCTTATTTCCAAGTCCTGGTTAGCAGGCAGTACCTGAGCTCGGACCAACCTTTAGTGTTAGGGCCATCTAGTGGGAGAGGAGGCATGGGCAGAGAGACCGGGACACGTTCAGCATATGGATTTTTCATCCGACTCGGCTTTCCGGTGTGACCTCTGGATACCTGGGCCAACGAAACAGTGATCGACAGATCGTTGCCAGTATTGCAAACAAAAGACAACATGACTCTAAGGGCTGCTTTAGGAAAAGAGAAAGTAGGCAAGCAGCCTCCAAAATTCATACAGCTGTTAAGGAGAGGAGCCTGTGCCTGTACCAGAGCGAACCAAACAGCCAAGGTAGAGGAGACAGTTTCAAAGAGGATAAAGACAGGAAGCACAAAATCCTTCATGATTTTGGGGAAGCAAGCCTCCTCAGGTACTGGCTATTCCAGTTTGTTCATACCAATCCTGTGAACTCTCCAGGGAAAATGTAGTAGGGTGAAAGGCTTGCACAAGCCTCTCCCCTCTGGTTTAGACCATTCCATACAGCCATAGGATCAACCCTTCAGGCAGAATTTTAGTTAATAAATGATTTCTTGAACCATCGTGGAAGATTGTGCTAGTATCTAGTCAGTGTTAACAGGCCTATGGTGTAAGAAAATGTATCCTAGGCCCCAGAGAATTAAGCCCATGAAATTTTTGGTGCTAGAATTTGACAATACACCAAGCGTGCTCTGAAAGAGAAAATCCCCCAGCCTCCAGTGTTTCAAGAGTAAGAGAATTTGTTCTCTGAGTACTAAGATAATATAACACTCCCACCCCAATTGAACCCAAAAACCCAAAACAAAACCGTATTTGTGTTTCTTATACATTTGAAAGGGAATTAATGATTTTCCTCCTATTGGGCTGTCAGAAAGCAATTAGCTTTGGTCACAGCAGCAAAAGAGAGAGGATAAATAAGAGGCAAGATAGGTGTTTCAGGCAAACAAAAGTGATTAATGGCCTCTCTCATGCTAGAGTTCAGAGAATCAGTAGAAGGATATACTTGAAATCATCTCTCTCTCTCTCTAGCACTAGGACTGCAGTGTGCTGTCCAAATGGTGTCCAGGGTATACCTGCTTACAGACAAATAAACATGGACCACCTATTTGAAGAAACTTAAGCCTGCAAGGTGGAGATAGAAAAGTGAACAATCTCTTAAATCATGTTTGGACCGTTACCTAAGAATAGTGCTTCAATGTAAATAACAGTTGCCATCCAGCATCTCCCTATTCCTATCATAATCCTATTCATCTACTTCTTTCTAGCTTGAAGTTTTCTTCAAATTTCCATGTAAGGAGCATGAAAAGAGCAGCTGGTCCAACTGCTACTGTCAGTTAGTGGAAATACCCTGTTATTATACAACATAGAAGCTGCATTTGTAACCAAGTTTTCATGTTTTAACATTCAGTATCTAGATCTCAAAAGAAATGCTGCCAGTCTATGATACACAAGCTCTGGTTGACATTGTACCCCAGCCAACACCTCACAGCTGCAGGTTAAAAGAAAGATAAGAACAGTAGGGTTCAAACAAACAAACAAAACCCCCACGACTCAGCAGTGAGACTAGCTTTCACAGAGTGAAGAGACACTGAAATAAAGCTATTGTCTATTATGAAACAAGGGAGAACCATCCTTTTCTGACAGCACAAGATTTAAGAGAGAGTTGCTAATGTTTTAGCTAAATTAAGTGTATTATCTTATTCTTATATTATGGTAATATAAAAAAGTCAGGTAAGTTTGTTTCACTGCAGTGTTTATATGTTTATTTTCCATATATCAAAATTTATTTGAAGTATCAAAGAGAGCGACCGGATTAAAAACCGGGTACAAAACGAGAACACTTTTTTACAGTTGATTCATATATAAAATGGTAGCTGATAATGCTGATAAAGCATATTTCAACATCCCTTTCGGGTGTTTTAAATCTACTGAGAAACAGAAAATGATATCTTACTTAAACACACAGAAATATATTTAACATAACAGCACCACAATGTGCAGGGGTTTTTTCCTTAATACATTGCAAGCTATGAGCATAGCATATAAAAATGGGACAAAGGCATGACATCTAGCAGGCCACTCTTTTGATTCAACTTTGCATCACAATAGAGACCAAGAATAACCAAAAACATTATGGCTCAGTAAGACAATGAGATAGAAATTTTTAAAAACAGGAATTTGCAATAGATATATCTTAGTTCAGCAATCTTAAGGGATGCTTGGATTCATGAAGAAACTCTTCTGTCATGTCCTCCATTTTGTTCTCCACTGTAGCTGCAGATTTGTTCTCTTTACCCTTTTTGCGACGACTTCTCTGCTGGGATTTAAAGAGAATACCCAATGTTAAGAGAAATACAAAGAAAAGACTTCTTGCTCATGTACAGTGCAGTACATAGTGTTCTGAGAAAAAAAAAAAGTTGGTAGAACTCCTGAAAAAGGTTCCAAATGCATTGCATTTACTGAAGAGATTTACTGCAGACACACAGAAGCTCAGCAGCTGCTTTTAAAGGATCCACAAGAAGAAAACATACTACCCCAGCAAGCCAACCCCTAGACAAATATACCAACGAGTTTACGCTGATACATTAGTAGAGCAAAAGGGTCAGAAGCAAGTAAAAAAAAAAAAAATCAAAAAACCCTCCACACACTTTCAACTTTTCCATTAATACACATGTGTTTGTCTAGCAAGTTATGACAATTTTTTTCATGCAGGAGTATTTGCTGAATTTTCAACTCTCTGTCCAGCTTGTCAGAAATCTGCATTATTTTATCCAGTATTAAACTGTCATCAGAATCTGCTGTGACTTTAGCTCAAGTTTAGCAAAGTGTATTCTACAGGATTTAAAGAAGCTATGAGACTACACTAAATTACAAGAAGTGACTTAAAACTACAGCATTATTATGGAAAATTAATTTTCTTCACTCTTAAATACACAGCTGTTTTGAATATCTGTGGAATTTACCTGGAAAAAAGGAACGCCACCATTTGTGTGGCAGTATACGTTTGTATCCACTAAGCATTTGTCATTAGCAAGGCTTTCATTGGATTCTTGCAACCCTCCCTCCTCTTCCAACAGGTCCTAAAACAGAAATTTTTCAGAAAAGTATATTTAATGTCTGAATTTCTTCAGTGAATAAACTAACCATGATCAGATCTATAAAACACATAGAACTTCCATTTTTGAAAAACAGAAATAAAAGTAAATTATTAATATTATTGCTTATTTTTCAGTAAGAGAATGTTTTTATCAAAAGCTCAGCATACTTGACTCCAAGTACACTGTAAAACAAAATCTGCAACAGCTCTGGGATTCTAATCAACTCTCCACAATGGCATTAAAAACCTCAAAGATGTGAAATCTTCATGCAAGAGCCTCATTTGCTGTTCATATACATACCTGGCCTGCACTATCCTCCATCTCCTCTGTCATGCTGCTTAGCATAGCATCAAGCTTAGATTGCTTTTGCCTTAATTGCTCCAGTAGAAGTTCCCGTGGCTCTGTTCTCATGAGTGTGACTGGATAGAAGTAGTCTCTTCTCTGTGGAGTTGTCCCTTTAATGAAGATTGCCTTTCATCAGTGTACACTATTAAATGCTTTCAGCATTCAGTGCTTTAATTTCAGATCCTCATTTTTACATTAACTAAATACAGAAATCATGCTTTGTTCAGTCACCATTCTTTGCACACATTTTAAGAAAAGGTGTAAGGCTGCCAGCTATATTATGTCCCCATTGAGATTCACTTACGAATTCTGGAACTCAAATTGCTTTCGGTAAGACCTTCTGTCCCTGACCTACTTTAAATACCTGTTGGAATATCCACTTTCAGATCCTCTTGCAGGAAACCATTAACCTGAGTTAGTCCATGCTGTACTTCGTTGCTAAGTGCCAGCTTCTGCTCCAGAAGTATCTCTTTATCCACCTTTATCTGATCAAGAAAGCCACTGAGTACCTTCCCCTCAGCAGCCACTTGTCTACTACTACAGTCAGCAATTTCAGCTGTTGTTTTATCACAGTGTTCTTCACTTTTCTGAAAATGAAACAAACAAACAATCCAGCTAAAAACATCAAGTTAACAGGAAAGGTAAGATTATGGCCTCTTTTCTAAGATGCAGTGCATGATTAGTGGCATGATCTGAAACGAAACAACTGAGATGTCAAATTGAGAAGTTTCAGTGCCAGTTTTACACTCTCATTTTGAGAACTATCTTCACAAGAGAGTCAGTTTCTTAGAAAGTATGATCATTTTAAAAAGCTACTCATAAAGATGATGCCATCTAATTCTGATCAGACTCCTCATGCTTCTATGCACAACCCTGAAGGATTACGATATTCAATTGGAAGTGAACATCCTACAAGCACTAGAAGCTTTATGCATTTGTAGGAGGAAGGGGAAAATATGCATTTTTAGCCACTCATTGAAATAAAACTTCTGAAGTGTTCAGCAGGTACAACAGATAGAGAGATGTCTTGAGACTGCAAATGTTTTTAACAGTTAAGAGTTAAGGACTCAGTGATCCTTGTGGGTCCCTTCCAACTCAGAATATTCTGTGTGATTCTGTGCACAGTTTCCAGTTAAGCTTTTCTTTCTGAAAGAAAGCAAAATGCTGGATTTGCCTATTTCATTCCCTATTACAACAATAAAACAAGAAGAGTAGGAAGTAAAGTTTGTGATGGAAATGAATAAAACGAAAAACCTGAGAGAAATTCTCAGATAAGAAGCCAGAACTTGTAGATACCAAAAAGGAATACTTTCTCCCATGTTAATTCAATCTGACTAAGAGTCATTTGCATCCTCCAGAATATAGCCTGTGCAGATCTCCCAGAGATGTTACTCGTAGATAAAGCTCTAGAATTAGAGATATATACTATCAAGATGATGAAAATGCAAGTTAACTGCATGGCATTAATCATAACACCATTTTTGAGGTTATTTGCACTCCTATTAACTTAAGCTTTTTATTTCCTCTCACTGCATCTAAGCTCAGTAACACGAGTCTGCTGTAATAAAGCCACAATTTTCTTCTGACTGTAACTGAGAATGTCTTTCTTCCCTGCAAATTCTACAGTAAAAGTTTGTCTCATAATGTTGCATTAGATTACAAATTACTATAAGTACCTTTTGTAAACAGTGAAACTGCTGTTTCTCATCACTGAAGGATGATAGGTGCTGATCAGTAAAGTTGACCACCTGAGCAGTTGTAAATTCACACCAGGTTTTGGTGTCCTGAGACACATCCTTGAGATTGCTGAGAAGATGTTGACAGTGGTCACTGGATTCTTCCAGTATCACCTTACTTTCAGCATTTATGCCCCTGAGCTCTTGAGAGAAATTATCCAGAGATGTAGTACATTTGCTGTGATTGGAATTTGCACTGCTAACAAGGTCTGTAGTTTTCCTGCAACAACATATTTGTAAGAGTTCAGAAATTTTGAAAGGTAGATTTTAATCACAATCTACATTTAGAAATATTTGAGACTGGAACCAGCAAAACAGTACAATTCTAGCAAAGTAGTTAATTATAACCTTGTTGCTCTTTTAGTAAATATATAAATTGCAGTAGGATAAGTAGATTTGTTAAAAACCAAACAAAACCCCCAAACTAGAACCAAAAAACCCCAATCACAAGCTAAAAACAGCAACTGGCAACACCTTTGTTGTTCAGTCTACAATTGAATGAAGGATGCTGCAATAGATACATTATACTTCAAGACCTTATGATATGACGTTCTGAAGTCCAGACACTGAGGGACATTCATCAGAATATTGCTCCTAAAATGACAGTCTCTTATCTGCAACATGCTCAGGAGAGAAGTTTGAGGAAAAGCATTGTAGAGCTAGTTTACTCTGGGGAAAGATGATCCCAGAGAAAACTACGATCTACACTCTGCGGCAGAACTCAGCTGTAACATACAGACCTCGTTCAAAAGACTTTATAAGAACATAAATATGAAGAGCATCTAATTTTCAAGTTCTCTTCATGTATAGTTTTATCTTGCATCAGTGTACAGCAACAATAATCTGCTCCTTACAAGTGAACATTTTCTTGCATAGCAGTGATGGTGGTCTTCAAGCTTCCATTTCTCGTGAGTACATTAGTTAAGTTCTTCTGAGTCTCCTGAGCAAACACGTCAAGCTGGCTTTGCAGTGAGGACATGAATTCAGCTGTTCTCTGTTAAGAAAAATACCACAAGTTTTACTGTTATTCTGCACTTTTTAACATTCTTAAAGGGTACCTGAATATCTGTATTAAAAGTGCAGCAGATAAAAGTTTTGCAGTTCTAAAGCAGAAGGTACAATTTTTGTGCAGCCAAGATAAAGACATTTTGCTTTTGGAGATACATGTAAACACATATACTAAACAGGCCCACAGGAAGGGGAAGTCTTTTTTGTTACCTTCCTACATAAACGACTTAAAGCAGCCTAACAAAACCTGAAAAGAATAAGTTTCTGTCAGAAAAGATCAAGTTATTGTCCTTATATAAGTATAATGATTTACTACTACAAAGAGTTTAAATCAAAGCAAGCAATCACACTTGGTGTTAGGATTTCTTCTTTCTCTAAGGATACCTTTGCATGTGCCAATCTCGTCATTTCCACTTCTTCTTTTAAATCATCACAATTATGCTGAAGCTCAGCAAAACCACTGTCCACTTCTTCACGTATTTTTTTCAGAGTGAGAGAAAGATCTCCAAAGAAGGTATCCATTTCCCATTTATGGGCCTCCATCTTGAAAAAAAAAAATTACAGTTAGATATTAACTTACTTAAGAAATGGATACTTTTCCCTAGCATAATTGATATAGAAACAAACTCTACTCCAAGCAAATTGTCAAAAGGCATTAATAAGGTATTGTGCATAAAAGGAAGAAAATAACACTTGGAGCAATCTGAAGTTTGAGACTGGAACTTGGTATGGGCTATTCCAAACACAAAATCTGGCATGCAAGGTAGACAAAACAGAAAAGCAGACAAAGTACAGAAAGAGCTGGTAAGCCATGGACTACTTGCTGCCTAAGCCTGAAAACCAATAGAAAGCCTTTAGACAAGGGGAGTTGATTTTACATGAGCTGTAATTGACAGAAGGGGAAAGTTTTTCAGTCAGAACAAGGGGTCACCAGAAACAAAGACTTGTTTTTAACAAAATGGAAAAAAAGAAATGAAAGAGTAGGGCTGCAAAGGACTTCAATAAGTGCAGTGTTGTTTGCACTTATGGTTGTTAACAAGATAAAGCATCACATTCTCCAGGAATCAAAGTGACTACAGAAAAAGTTGGGTACGACAGCAGAAAAAAAATAGGAGTGATAAGACTTGTCTAAGTTGATTTTTCTTTTTCAGATTTCTAAAATACAGTGGAGAGTATATTACGTGTATTATCAAATATTTGTTACATACAGATTTAAGCATCCGTGTTTTACCATTCGACTGAGGCATTTAGGGGAGCAGTTACGCCAATATAGGTAACAAGAAAATTTACCACACTCAGAAGCGGAAAAACAAGTCTGAAAGGAAGAGTTAAAAGGCAGAACTCATAGGATAGGATAAAGGCAAAAAGGACAGACCAGAAGTGGAAACACTCTGACACATTGCAGAAAAACAAAGAACATATTATCTGTAAATTAAATAAAACAGAAGAACACAAGTGAGAAGTTATGTGCATTACCTGCTCAGCCACAGCAGAGTATTTCTTCATGTTACTCTGAAACTGACAGTTCAAGCCCAAGACAAATTCTACCACCGGTGTCAAGCTATTTAACGCTCTTCCTAAACCAGTTTCATGTTCCTCCTAGGAACAGCGGTAAAAAACCAAACAAACAAAAAGTAAAACATAAGATGGCAGTTCCTTCATCTACATTTGTAAGAAGCTATCTATATACATATCCACGTACTCTGTTATGACAGTATTTGCTACACAGTACATTACAACTTGCAGTTGTAACATGGGAGAGGACGTAGAGAGGGATATAATCATGGTCAAGTGCTGAAGCAGATACAAGTAAGGAGCATCAGAAAAACTATATAATATTTACAGAACTCCCTTTTGATCAAGAATAGTTTCATATATTTAAGTAGCATAAGAATATGTAAGTGTACTAACAATTAATCTCAGCAGCTCAGCTTTACAATCCAGTGATAGATTCTCACGCTGTGTTATTTTTTCAGACACGTGAGAAATTTCCGTAGACACCAATTCTTTAACAGAGGCACAAGCTGCTGACATAACTGATGCAAGAATATCAGCTGTTGAAGAACTGGTAGACAAGAGGTCACCTACGAAAGAGATCAAGAAAAGTTACTAATTTTTTAAGAGTTCCTCTGTAAGATAGGAACTTTTTTTATTGCTCATCACCTTATTGTCTCTTACAGCACAGGAAGGCTGTTGATGATTCCAGACACATTATTAATGGTGCAACTGTAATCATTCCATTGCTTAAAATAAAGCCTCTTCCACTTTCCTAAAATAGGTCCATTTTAGGAAGCAGTCTTTTAGACTACTATTGCAAAAATTCAGGATGACTACTGATACAGGTATTAGGCTTACCTATAAAATTTACCTATCTTACTGATAAAGGTATTATACTTACCTACAAAATTTGTGTAAGATGTCAACATCTGTTGCTGCTTCACACTGTTTTCACTAAGTGAATCCTGTATTTTGTTGAACAAAGCATTCATTTGTACTGCAAATGTATTTTGGACAACAGCATTGTGCTGTTCAACAGCTTTCTTACGGTCCAGTTTCGCATGAAGCTCAGATACATCTTTTGTAGTTTCTTCAACTGTACTAAGTAACTATAAATTTTAAAGTTATTTTAGTCAGTGTTTAAACAAGTCAAGCACATATTATATAAGGAAAATCAATAATAGTTCTGAGCTAGAGAAGTTCTCTCTCTAGAAAGATATTTCCCCTTACATTATCAAATTACAACTGTTCTGAATCTTAGTGTTATGTCATTTATGGTCTTAGAACATGGCAAAAAGTTACTTACTAGAGAGATCACTTGTTCTGGCTTTGAAGCCAAAGCATTAATAAATTACATCCTCAGTATTTAAAGAATTAAGGTACCATTTATCACAGAACAGTAACTGAAAAATTCCCAACCATTTCAACTTTTTTCTGAACAATTTGACAATAACTATATTCTTTAATATAGTAATCAAGCAAGCAGTTTCCAGTACTAGTTCTGAAATAATCTGGAATTCAGAAAAATAGTAGAGTCTTGGTTTTGTAGTCAGCATATATTATTTCCCCACCCATTTGTCTCACACAAACATTCCACAACCCATATGCAAAAACCAGGCATTCCCTTTCAATCTTACAGGAATCCAAACAGAAAAAATTGTCATGTTGCCTAAAGATACAAATTTCATCACTTTGCAGTTTAAGTAGCAGGACAGTCTGTCTCCCTGCATCAAGTCTGTTTTGATAATTATGATCGATCAAAGCCATATCCTAAAATATAGAGGTGACAGGGCAACGTTATTCAAACTTTTTGCTATTTTTCTGCTCCAGTTCACAGAATGGCTTGGAAAGGACCCTTAAGTTCATCTAAGTTCCAAGCCTCCTCCACGAGCAGGAACATCTGCCACTAGACCAGGTTCTTCAGTTATAATATTATTTACTGTTTTGTAGGACCAGTCATAATTTTCTAAAAGAAAACTACTTATTCTGCAAAACAACTTATGGTAATAGATACTGCAAAGCACTGGAACTCCCATGACAAACTGGCCTGAAAGCAAGTTAGTTCCAGACTAACCAGCATGTTTAGCAGTCAACTGTCAATATTACCACAGAGAAAGTCTTGCATTCTAATTCTAGTTTTCTGTCTTAAATTCAGCTTGTCTCACTTGCATCATGCTCTAGCAACAATTGACTTCCTTGAACAGCCCAGAAAACACCTAAACATAGGAAGCTGTTTTACAGTAGGTGCAAGAACTGTGACAACCTTGCTAGCTGTGCCATGAAGTTTTTGTTCATTGTTTTCCAAAACTGAAACCACATATTCTTCTTCAGCCAGATGAACTTTGGTTTCTTGCAGATCTTTCTGTGTTTCTTCTAGCTCTTTCTCCTTGATTTGCAAATCTGTTTTACACTGTTGAAGTTCATTTTTACTAACTGTGAATAGTTCAGTGATCTAAAGAGGAAGACAAACACAATAGGGCAACACCACTTTATAAAAATTCAACAGTCTCACTTCGCATCTCTCAACTTATGCAACAATAAATATCAGGATGTAAAATGTAATTTCAGCTGTAAGACTTAGAGGTCTTAAACCTAAACTAGAGGTTTGCATAGTCTTTGTATTCACTGAAAATATCAACCCAATACCATTCTCATCAAAATAATCCCTTGCTTCCGTACTCAAAACACAAGAGCAAACCACTGTCACAGGACAAGGAAGAAAATCCCACGGAACAAATATAAGCAGATAGACTGAAGAGACTCAGTAAAGCTGATGACATAGAGCAGTTACATACTCCAGAAAATTAATACCTACACTTCTCCTATACTAGGAGCTTCAATTTTCTATATGATTTGTTAACGGGAGCTCATGACCCTCTCTGCTCATTCTTTGCTCCTAAGCAGGTATCTGTCAACTGAGATGATACCATTTTACAAGCAAATTTTTTGCTGAAAATCCAGCAACGCAAATTAAAGTACCAGACATGAAAACAGCTGTAAAAAATAAATATTGCACTCTTATACATGTTATTTCAACTTCCTAACTCAAGGATTAGGAAGCTTCCACTCTGGACTAATACGGGAACTTCAAGAACAACGATAAAAAAAAGAGTCAAAAAATCTTTTGACTGTTCTTTGCTCAAACTTTTTTCCTCCTTTTGAGAGGAGGAATTAATTTCTTCCATTTTTTGGCAGATTTAAGCAACAGTTCAAAAACATCACTTACTTTTTTCACTTCTTCCTCCATAACACCAATTTTGTCAATATATTCTGCAATTTGTTCTTCCTGAACAGTCAGCTTTCCATTAAGGGCTCTAAAGCAAAGATTAAAACAAATTAGTCAAGTAAGAGGCAATTTCAAGACTATCTACAGGTTTTTACACTATGACTTCAGTAATTTAAAAAAATAAATATTGCTAACTTCTAGATGAAAAGCAGGTAATTTTCACTTAATACAGAAAAGATTTAAAACAATTTTCCATTGTAAGCCTTCCGTGTAAACTATCCCTCTTAAAAGTGAAGTTAACTATATTAAGTTTGCTTTCCTGTATGAACTTCCACTGAAAGAGAGACTGCATGGTGTAAATCTGCATCCTGGCTATGCTTATGGTAATTATTCCACATATAAATCAATTCCTCAGTGCAAGCCTATTAGGCTTTACCTGTGTAAAAATTAATTTCTAAAGAACAAGTTGACCAGTCAGTTAAATTTTCCTGACTTTCCTTCAACTTTCTGGTGTGAAAATAGATCTGAAAGTATTTCTGTACCAGTATCTGAGATTTGTTGCTAGTCATTTTATAGAAATTTTGAAGACATACTCATAATTTTCAAGAGAAATATAGACTCCACTTTTCTCTCGTGCAGCAACAAGGTCTCTCTTCAGACGCTCAATCTCTTCAGTGTATTCCTGCATAAAGAAACAATCCCATGTAAACCTGAAAATTTCTATTTGGTTTTGATATTTAGCTTAAGAGATACTTCACAAAGGTAGTGCTCTACAGAAGTTTTGCATAAGCATGGGAGCAAAGCACTTCATTCTGTTCTAAGGACAGTACAGTACCCTTTAAAATCATACTATTGGATATATGTAAAGCATTGAAACCTTCCATTTGAATAATACTTGGTTGCATCTAGCAGCTCACAATTGGAATCACAACTTTCTTTGTAGCAGAGACCTACTTTACATTGGCTCTTCACTCATACTTAGTGACAAGTTCTCTTTAATTTATGGACTTTCTGGGGAATGACCTTGCTAATACAACTCCTCCAGAAAGAGAAACAGTGTCGTTTAGTGGCTTTCCAGTAACTTGTAGACATGTAATCCACAAACAGAGCCACAGGCAGTAGCAATAATCCTCTCTTTTCAACTTCAGTCTTGGCCACAGTTTCAGTATCTGCAAAGTCACTAATCCTGTACCAGTAGAGCAGCTCCAGTTTAAAAGCACCAGTTCAATGATTTCAAATCACTTCAGAAAAGCACTGCTACTAGTTACAGCTTCTCCACACCCTCATAATTCCTGCACAGCAAAGACTACAAAATCAAACATAACCTGTAACTTCATTTGTTGAGTTGTATGTCTAGTACCTTAATAAGAGCTTTTCTTGTTAGCTTCTGATTGACTTCAGGCTTGTTCATTATGTTCTTTGCTCTATGGGCATATTCCAGTGTACTCAATGTTTCCTGGGAAAAAGAGATGTGAGACTAGGTCAAGCTGAGGAATTTAACTCATATTTTTTATCATTAGCAAAATGTATTAATTATTTTAGGAATAGATTTTCAGACTTAAAATTTACCTCAAGATTTATAGATGCAGGAGAAACTGTGGCAATTATTGATGTTTTTGTCCGTCCTCCAAGAGAATCTTGAAGGATTCTTGTGAGTTTAGATTCCCTGTATGGAATATGTGGGGTTCTTTCTACCAGAGCAGTAATAACTCTTCCTAGTGTCAGGAGAGACTGGTTGATATTTCCAGCTTCACGAGCTCTTTTGTCAACTGCCCCTGAACGACCGATGTTTTCACTTCCTGCGAGATCAACCTGAAAATAAGGTTATGCTTCTATCTCAAACCACCCTGAAGAATGCTTGGCCCAAGGTGTTGCAGAACACCTAAAATAGCAGAAGAGCTGTTCAAGAGACACTGGGATGACAAATGGGACCGACATTCTTCAGAGTGACAAATATAGCTCATACCACATTATGAAAACAATCATTTTTCCCCTTGTCAGAAAAAAACTCAAACTCTAGTTCATGACTTTCAGAATGCTATCAACACCACTTAGTTCAAATACTTACCAAGTTTAGCTTTCCAATTTTAACAAGTTCTTCTCCATCTATTGTTGTTTCTTTCATATGGATGGTAATTGAAAACACTGAGTGGGAACGGCTGCAAAAGAAACCAGTTTCAGACATTCCATTAAAGTCAAATTATCTACCTGCTATGTGACATTGCTGCAAGTTATGTATCTGTGCTCTTTTTAGGGAATACATTTAGCCCATCAATTGCAAACTACACATTTTCAATACATAGTTATTTTACCAAGTATATTTTTGTGTGTATATGTAGTTAGAAATATGGTATTTAAAACCAGTGATGAACCAAGCGCATGACATTTGACTCACTCAATCTAGATACATTTTATCTTATTTCGAGCAAAACCAAGAGAAATGCTTTGGTTTTGTTTACATGTGTGTGTTCTCAACTCACATGCATCTCATGAAAAAAAAAATAATCTACAAGTCAGTTTAGTCAATATGCTAAGAAGTTTCATAGAATGCGATCTTCAGGAACATAGTTTTCTTTATTCAGGCTAAGAAAATAATCAAGTAGCTGAAACCAATATTAAAATTTTAGAAGTTAAATTAATTTTTCATTCAAAATAGTAATACAGTTTAGGATCACAGAATCATTGAATGGTTTCATCCAGCTCCAACACCCCTATTGTGGGCAAGGGCACCTTCCACTAGAGCAGGTTGCTCAAAGTCTCATCCAACCCAGCCTTGAACACTTCTGGGGATGGGGCATCCACAATTTCTCTGGGCAACATGTTCCAGTGTTTCACCACTGTCACAGTAAAGATGATTTTAGGCTGATTTTATTCCTTTAAGAAGTTTTTACAATAGGAAGCTGACATACATCGAAAGCCACAGATGTCAACTTACACCAGTTAGACTATACATAAAACAACAGTTCAGGCAGAATGAATTATCTAAACTGCCTGTAATTTCAGACAAAATTAGTTCTGTATTCTAATCTGTTTTAGAAAATACCTGTTCCCTTCCACCAGTAGACAGATATGCTCAGTATACCTTTAATTTAAAATAAAATATGGGCAGGGTGCATTGCTTACTTTTGCAATACAGGATCATTACAGTGATATACATACCCTATCTGCAGTTGAAGAATGAGAAAGCAGTATTAAAAAAAAATGCTATTTTCGACCCAGATGTCTCTACTAGATTCTGACTATGACCTGCAATCATATGAAATAGCCTGTATTACCATACAAAACCCTCTCCTCAACCTTATCCCCAACTTCCACAATCTAGTTGTGCAAGTTTTCAGAAGCCAGGGTTTGAAATGAGCATCTTGTGTTGACCTGTAAAAAGCAGATCTTATCAGTGTTTTGACATTTCAACTTCTGTAACAAATTCTAATGTACCATTTTCTACTGCTGATGAGGAAAGGAAAGGATACTCGATACGCTTACACCAGGCTTTTATCTAGTAAATGGGATTGGCCAAAACACCCAATCACATGTAAGAGCTAGAACAAAGGTAACCCACCTCTCCAATACAGGTATATCAACTAAACATCTTCCAAACATGAAAGGACTACAGCCTTCTTGAAATGTACAGTATATACTGCAGAGAATATTTATCTCACGCTAGTACATGCAATGTATTTCAGTGATTTATCTGTCAGATTTGTGTCTTTTGTTTTCATAGTCACAGAAGGTTTTGAAAAAGTTAACTGTGCAACTTTGAGAAATAAATTTCAATACTCTAGATGACCAGTTAAGAATGTTGTGATACTTTCATCAGAGCTAGATTTAGGTGGAATACCAGGTCTACTGTTCGAAATAGCCACTGTGTATTTTCAAGGGATATATTAATAACAAAGCATGCAAACTCTAAACAAGAGAAGAAGCTTATGTTAAAAATCACGCAGGGAGAAATGTCTTGCCCGTTTTTAAGACAAGAAGTATTCAGATTTTATAATGCTCTTTGAACTGGTTTTGGTTGGGGTAGAGGCAATTTTCTTTACAGTGGCTGGTATGGGGCTGTGCTTTTGATTTGTGCTGAACATATGGAGGGTTTGTTATTGTTAAACAGGGCTTACACAGAGCCAAGGCCTTTTCCTGCTGCCACACTGGTGAGGCGGCTGGGGGTGCACGGGAGATCGGAAGGAGATGCAGCTAGGACAGGTGACCTCAGCTAACCAAAGGGATATTCCAGACCATATGGCATCATGCTCAGTGTATAAAGTGAGGGTAAGAAGGAGAAAGGGGGGGTGGAGGTCTGGAGTGGTGGCATTTCTGTTCCCAAGTAACCATCACACGTGATGGGGCCCTGCTCTCCTGGAGATGGCTGAACACCTGCCTGCCCATGGGAAGCACTGAATTAATACCTTGCTTTGCTTGTGTGTGCAGCTTTTGCCTTCCCTATTAAACTGTCTTTATTTCAACCCATGAGTTTTCCAGACCCTTCCCATTCCCTCCCTCATCCTGCAGGTGCAAGCAGCTGTGTGGTGCTTGGCTACTGGCTGGGGTTAAACCACGATATCCCTTCATACACCAATTACAATCATCCCACTGGATGCCATAAGGAGGAAGTTTTAACTCTGGCTTTCTAACCCACATTTGACACTCTGCACTGTGATACACAATCTCAAGATCATGCCAGGTTTGGACTAGTTTCAATCATCTTTTGCTTCTTCAATAAGATCCTCTTTAATAAAGAACAAAATACAAAGTCTGAAATGATGAAAATCTGTACCTGGAATATTGGTTCATGTAAGTAGCTGCAGTTGTTCTCTTTGCTGCACCCCTTTCCAGGATTTGGTAGACCTGATTTTTGTTGTGTACAGTTACTTCTTCCAAGCCTTTAATAATTACACCCCGCTGTCAGAAAGTAATACATGCTTATTATACATCTCTCAACAATCCTGAAAGCCTTAAGATCACAAATTTTGCAAGCACTAACCCTGTTTCGAGGGTCATCAAACATCTGCAGTCTTTCTCCAGCATCAGGAGTAGGATTCAGAAGATCAAAAAGCTCCTCATTATAGATCTCCAAAAGAGAGACTTTCACTGAAAATTCAGTACCATTCTCTGTGAGTTTTTCAAATATTTGATGCAATGTACGGGGTATTATACCTGCTAGTGGATCCTACAAATTAAAAAGACGTATTTAATTTATAAATGCCCTTGGGGTTATGGGGTGGAGTTTCAGCTAAACAGCCTGATTGGATATAAGCAAGAATACTTTGGACAAAGATGATCTTCCACATAAAAACTGCCAAGAGTTGTATGCAATACATTAAAGATGTAAAGTTTTGCTTTTCACTTGAATGAATGAGACCACTTGTTAATCTACAAACAGTTAAGGAAAGTCAGCTTCAGGATTTGAAGGACACCAGCTCTCAGTTTTCTTTAGCTTTCTGCAATTTCTAAATTTGAACTATAGTGCAGACAAGAGAAATCTCTGGAGTGAAAATATACCTCTTCCCAAGTATATTCCTCATTGGGTGACCGCTCCCCTTCCATTGTGAAGGTCTTACCCGTACCAGTTTGGCCATAACTGTGAGAGTAAAAATAAAAATGTAAACAAGAAACTAAAATTCAAATAAAATTCCCTAATAATCATTACTGGCTTACTTACGCAAACACTGTACAGTTGTAGCCCATAATAACTTCATCCAAAATGGGACACACAACACTCCGGTATACATCAATCTGCTTAGCCTGAGGTCCAAAAACCTATTGACACAAAGACAACACATCCCATTTATCCATACAATAATGTATAGCATCACACTGTACAGCAATGAGACCATATCAGAGAAATGCACTAGCTCATTTCTAGAAGTTCCCAACTTGACAAGCAGTTACCAACCATATCAAACGTGTAAGTCTTCTTTGATGTCTTATCTGTCACTCCTCCAGTGCGGACACTAACTTCCTTTCTTGCTTGATCACAGTCTACAACAGGATGGGAGCTTGCTTTAAGTTCTGAGGCATTAAAAGGCCTAAAAAGACAGGAGTTAAGAAAATCAGATGGATATCATTGCTAACAAGAACACAAACTGAAGAAGCAGAAACATCACTCAGTCGTTGATCTAGAATAGAATAACTGGGTAAAAAGAACATAGTTAACTTAGTTTGTTTAATAATTGTTTAAGGGAAAAAAGCCACATTTTGGCAGTTTAAAGACCCTGCCTTCTATTGCTGTGGAACAAATCAAGTGTCTATAGCACTTTGTTATGTATGTATTTTTAACAGGCCCATAACCATTTTTAAGGTCATTTAGATGCACATCTAGCTAAGATGCATTAGAACATGTTGTTCAACTGCAAGGGGGGTAGAAGATTTAACATCCCAAATAGTTGTATAAGTAAGAGCATCCAAAAAAGGAAAACACTTATATACGCAAGTTAGTACAATAGTGAATCAAACTAACTTTAAAAATTTCCTTTTTTATTTTTCATTTACACAAGCAATGATGCCTACATCCCATGCCAATGACATGAGACTCTGAAGCACCAGAAATACCAACAGACCCTACTAATTGCGGAACAGAAAACAGCAATACCAGAACATTTATAATGCTGATGCATTTGAACAGAATTTAATTAAAAACAGATAAAACAGATTTTGAGGGGAAAAGTCTCCATTAATTAAAACTCAATCATAGTAAAAAGGTTCAATAGAGGTGCAATAAAATTTTTGGAACTTTATGGTGTGCATTTTGTTTCACCACTAAGTTAATTCGAAACCAATGCACACACCATTTTCCTTGAAGGGACCTTTGCAACAATTTCTCCTAAAAAGCATGGAGATGACTGTGGGCTGAAAACTAATGGCATGAAATCCCATTTTATTACTCATTTATTAGCACTACTGCACTGAATGTCTATGCTACCTGTAGAGATGACCTGAACAGTTAACTTAAAAATATAACATCTACAACCTTTAAAATAGCCTTTAAAATATTTTAACAGAGACACTTCAGGTGCTAAGTTACATTAAAGAAAAAAAAAAAAAACCAACCCAAAAAGCCACAAGTATATGGCATCTTGAGTTTCCTGAGTCTTGTGGCTAATATTTCTTCCTCAACATAGAACTGAGGTTGAAGTGTCAGATTCTAAACAGACCACCGGACACTTTGGTGCAAGATTGACTGGCGACAACAGACGATCACTAAAATCTTGTTAGCAGGAACAAGTTACAGCTTCAGTTTTGTGACTTTTAAAATAATAGAAGGCTGAATAATGAATATATTCTGCTATCTAACAATATAAGAATGAACCAGTACAATGCAGGACGTAGGATAGCCCACAACTGTGATATGAGGAACAATTTAGTGAAGTTGAAGCACACATCCACATTGCCACCATCCCACTAGACAAGCAGCAGCCTGGTATGCCAGGGTGACATTTGATCACACATTCATTCCTTTCAGTACAAAGGACTATCACACGTATTAACAATGCTAATGCATGCATTTTAAGTTTCCAAATTCATGTTTTACCAAAGCACAGTAAACGTGTTGCTTGAAAAGGTTTTTGATATGCTCAGAAAGATCAGTTTTTGGGAGCAAATTAGGATACAAACAAACACAAATGCATCTACCTACATATCTATAAGATAAGAAGAACCTGACTTGAAGAAGAAAAAGGAAAAGGGAAAAAACACTTACTAGCTCAAGGGCACTGAAGCTATTATAAAAAGAAAAGCTCTACAAGGGGCAAGAGCAAGGGTGGGCAAGAAAGTTTTAGGGGTTAGAGACTAAATCTTGACATAGGAGTTAAGACTATGAGTTGCAACAAAAGCAGAACACTACATCATGGACAGCCCTGATGCTACTGTTATATAAAATAAAAATACATTGATACTTAGTGAGGCTATTCCAGAACAACAGAGACTAACCAGATGAAAAAGAAAATTATTGCTCTTGACTGTTTCAAATCCAATTGTTTCAATAAATTTATTCTTTGGCAATAGCCTTGACTCACATCAACACTTTCACCAATCTAATATTTGTTACAGAACTGTTTTAGTCGTATTGCAAAAATAAGGCAAAACTGCTTTAAATTTCTATTTTCATTGTGCATCTGTAAAAGTAGAACTCACAAGCTTGAGAACGTGATTGTAAAAGGCATTAAAACATAATATGCAAGCTAACATTTGCAGTTCTGGCTCAAAAAAACCCCCAACTTCTAATAGTATTTCAAACCCTATTCTTAACACATTACCAGTATTACAGCTTTAACAAGCAATGCTTTAAGATTATTTAAGATCTACTATCAGTGAGCAATTCCTTAAAGTCACCTCGAAATTACAGAAAGAACTTAATTTTATGGTATGTGAAATGTATCACTTCATACAAGAAACAAATTTATATAATCAAAAAGATAGTTGGCCATTATTACTTAAACAGTTGACCCCCATCCCATAGCTTTTTCGACTGGAGAGTCCGCACCAATGAAATTATATTAGAGATATAAGGAAGTGGAGTAGCAACAATTCCATTAGCTGTTAAAGCGTAGTGGCTTCCTACGGAAGGTGAAAATTCAGCTTGGGTTTTTGTGCGCCTTGAACAGCAGTCCTACTAACTAACTCCCATCTAGCTCTCCTTAAGCTTCCCACGCAGCTTTACACCGGGTGTGCAACGAATCAAATTCGGAAACTGCACCTTTTCGCCTTTTCAAGCCGTACGAGCTCGCTCGCAGCAGCGTTACCGCGCGGCAGTGCCGATCGCTCGCGGGCACACGGGGCCGCCTCCCGCGCTCACCAACGCCCGGGGGGGCTCGGCGGTACCGCCGGGCAGACAGAGACCCACAGTCGGGCACACCGGCTCGGCACAGCCACAGCCGCCTCTGTCCCGCGGCGGACCCGGCGCAGCGCCGCGAACGCCCCGAGCCCGAGTCCCGCAGGGACCGACCAGGGTCCTCCCCGGGGCGGCCCCCAACGCTCGCCCAAGGGACCCGCCGCACTTACCTGCACCGCACCACCACCTGGATGTTCTTGCCCTTCTCCTCCTTCTTGGTGGTGCCGCCGCCGCCCTGGGAGCCGAAGGAAGCCATGCCGGGAGCGGGAGCCGAGGCGCTGCCGGAGCGGGACGTGTCGCGCGCGCGACCGCCACTTCGAACCGCGCGGCGCCCGGCCCGGCCAATCAGCGGCGGCCGCGGGGCACCACGGGACGGCATTTCAAATGGCGGCCCCGCCCGCCAGGGCAGCGACACCGCGCTCCGCCCCGCCCAGCTCCCACCTCCTCCTCCGAGCTACCGCCGGCGGCCAACCCGGCCGCGTCCGGCCTCCTCTGCAGCTGCCGCTGACAGCCCCGGCTCTGAGGGCAGCCCAACTCCTCGCCGCGCACATCAGTCTTCAACAGTCACATCATCGACGTAACCCTCCCTCGCAGGTCAAGCCCTCCAGTCATTCTTCTGTCCCCACTAGCTCTCCTGTTAGTCCACAATTTCTTCAAACATCACGACAAAATTGGAGAAGCATACCTAAAAAATGCCCTGTGGAGTGGAAGCATTACTTTACCAGTTTAAAAAAATTAATCATATTTCTAATTTACATGGTGGAGCAGAGCGTTCACTGTTCCCAGCAGGGCACCTGTGGACTGCTGTGTCCTCGGTCGGTGGTGCCCCAGTTCAGGTTGCCACGTGTCTGCAGCAGAACCACAGCTGGGCAGACCCCATCCCCAGCTGGGCCATGCCTGCTGAGCTCCTCTCTGGACCCTCTGTTCCTTGTGCACACTTCAACTCAGGCTGGTCTCCAGCACAACTCATCAACATCACTGAATTCTACACCTAACTTTCTATATATTTACAGGTGGGTGTTGCCTGATCGATTCCTGTGAAAGTCTTATATCACAATGAAAGTAAGTAAGGGCTCAGGACAAAGCATCACGGGTGCATCACATCCATCCTTTTGCTTTGAAACTAGATCATCTGAGCCACTTGCCAAGTACAAAATTACACCCTCTCGTTAGCAGTTTGATTTATATCACCCTGGCTTCCCCGTGACAGCTTCCTCTGAGAGGCACTATTAAAAGCTTTGCTAGGTGGAGATCTATGACAGGATAACAGGTCTTCCAGGTAGAGAGGAAGAAGCAGATGTTATAGAAGATTCAACTGGTCTGACACACTTTTTTTTCCAACAAATCTGTACTGGCTCCTACAGACTGTCACACTGTCATCGACCTGTTATGGCCTATGGTGCTACAGTGTTTTGCTGTTCTTCTAGGGCCTTCCCAGTTCCTGAAATTCAGATTACCCATCTATAATTTTGCAAGTGTCCACACTCTTTTTTTTTCCCTAAGTTGTCTGCTTTGAAATTTACATCTCCCTCCTCCATGAATCGTTAAAATTAATAACAAACAAATCCTAACCCTTAAGGCTTGCAGTAATTTTTCTGACAGTGACATGAAGCAGCATTACATTATGCTCCTCTACCATTAATCTGAAGAGTTAGAACAATGTCAGAGCCAATCAATCTTATACTAGGCACAAAGAACAGGATCTGAGAAATACATTACTTTCACAGAAAAGGACATGAAGCATTGGATTCCTATTCTGCTTCGAGCAGAAATTGATCAGAAAGCATTAACATTCAAGAAATTTTGTCTGCCTTTCTGAATGTAGGCTGATGATGCAACAGGACAAGAGCTATGAAAACTTTATAAGTATTAATAAAAATTTTCATTTCAAGCCTTTCTGGGCAAGTATTTTGTTTGCCCCATATAAGATTTTACTGCTTGCATGCCACTGAAAGCAATACAATTTGAAAGTATGTATAGTATATAAATATATTACAAGACAACTACTTTGCAAGGACAGACATTTCGAACTTAGTAACTGCCAGATGAATTACTGCCCTTCAACATCAATTTTTAGCCTTTTGACCTCAAACCTAGAAATAAGGCAATGATTCTGTAGGAACAGCTTGTAACAAAACAAAATTTATATGCATGGATGTGCTGGTTTTGGTTGGGGTAGAGTTAATTTTCTTCACAATGACTGGTATGGGGCCGTGTTTTGGATTTGTGCTGAACACAGGGTTGATAATATAGAGATGTTGTTATTGCTAAGCAGGCCTTGCACAGAGCCAAGGCCTTTTTGTGCTGCCACGTTCATGAGGAGCCTGGGAGTGCATGGGAGATTGAAAGGAGACATGGCCAGGACAGGTGACCCCAATTGACCAAAGGGATATTCCAGATCCTATGGGATCATGCTCAGTATATAAAGTGGGGGGGGGAAAGAAGAAGGAAGGGGAGGACCTTTGGAGTGATGCTGTTTTGTGTTCCCAAGTAACCATGACATGTGATGTGGCCCTGCTTTTCTGAAGATGGTTGAACACCTGTCTCCCCATTGGAAGTGGTAAATTAATTCCTTGCTTTGCTTGTGTGTGCAGCTTTTGTTTTCCCTATTAAACTGTCTTTATCTCAACTCCTGAGTTTTCCAGCTTTTGCCCTTCTGATTCTCCTCCCTATCCCACAGGCGGGGGAGTGAGCGAGTGGCTGTGTGGGGCTTGGCTGCTGGCTGGGGTTAAACCACAACAGGCAACTAAGGAACTCGTATTTTCTAACAGCCTTGGAGCTTAACTTTCAAACCAAAACGAGTTTGGTGGGTTCATGTTACTAAGACTTGCTACTTTTTTCCCCCCTAATGAAACACTAAAAATCACAATAATACATTTTGCTTCAGCTAAGTACGGATTTAATCAAGTGGGAAAATAAATATAAGAACAATGTCCAGGGCAAACATAGTGAGACCACCTTTACTCTTACTTGTCTTTTTGTATTCCATCTATGCTAAGAGCAAAAATTATTCATACAGACAATTGTGTAGTAGATACTGCTAGACTGAAAATTCAAATGCAGGTATGCAAATAATCTGAATCTTTACCTTTTGCTCTATACTCCTTCAAATGGATCATACAAAAGAATGTAGCACTGGAACTCAGGAAATATTTTCTTCCAACTTCTGCTTTTTTGTTCTTTTCTGGTACAAAAGTCAGATTTTTCCTCAAAATACAACATGTCTCTCACAAACACAGAAGACATCATTTAAACATGTATTTAAACAAGAAGAATCTATTCAATTATTGGGAGTTAAATTTGGTCCATAGCTACCTTTGCTATAGTTGTGGTAAGTGAAAAACATGTATTTCTGGTAATCAAGTTAGCTTAAAAAAAGCATACAGTTTAATAGCTGTAGGTCTGTTTTACAAAGTCAATTTATAGTATAGGTTGTACATTTTCTTAGACTAGGTTGAACCTAAAGATACTAGTATACTATAAACATAAACTGAGTAACAGGGAGCTAGCATTTCACAAGCAATAAGAAAAAATGCAAGAATACTTAGGCTAGTCTCAATAGTGGTTGGGAGAATGACCTTTAACAAGGCATGTACATCATCTGTGATAATTTTTTTTTTAAGAGAGACAAAAACATTACAGAAAATTAAATTATATAATAATACACACAACAGCCAGTGTAACAACTTCAGTAGAAATTACTAATCTCCACATATGGGTCAGAAAGGACAATTTTTAAGTATAGTTTGCCAAGAAAAAGGCATTGAATTATGGTGATATTTATAGACAAAACAAACATTGTTTTCCTAGGATTTGTATCAGAACATCTGGGTAATTATAGGTACAGAGGCCTGACAAATAGTAAAACTGTTAACACAAAACATGATTAGCTAAGAATGAAGAAAGGTTATATAAGGTATAATAATGGAGAGATATAATTAATACAAATTATAAGGCTGGGTGAGACTTCTTTAAGGCTTAGTAACACTTGTTTTGATTACCAACATGCTACACAGTGTATCAACTGTATTGAACATGTGGGGAGTGTAATATTGTTCAATACTATAAGTGACATAGCAAAAATTTGCTGATTAATTGCATAGTCACGTTAAAGGGGAATCGACCTGCACCTTAGATAAGCATAAAGCAATTTCTAGTCTTTGAATAGCCTGTCCAGTTGACCAGTAATATTCTAAACTTTGTATTGTTCACATACAGAAAGTTAAACAATAAGGACTTACACACACTGTACTGGTATGTTTTCAGCTGAGGACAGGGTTTTCCTTCAGTCAAAGTAACAGGATAATTATGTCACTGTTAAAAACAAAAAATACAATGCAATAAAGTAACTATTGTTAAAATTAAGGACTCAATGCATATACAACATGATTAAAACCAGAACTTGTTTCAACTAATTAGGGAAAATACACAGAATGAAAGATTTTTTTTTAGGCATGTGTGCCAGATCACTGTCTGACACAGACGGTAGCACCTTTACATCTTTTTATAGTTGCCATAATAAAAAATTAACACCACACGTAGGGGGATGCATGCACTTGTGTAATTAACTCAGAGTAAAGCTAGTCATTTTCCATAGGCTTACCTATTTTCTGTTAAGGTGTGCAGCTGGAAGACATCCTTTACATAACAAGAAAAGAAACAATGAATGGGAAAATTGGAAACATACAGACTTGACAGGACTGACTGAAGTCAACAGGAAATGTCTCCTTGGCCTCATTACCTTTAATATCTTAAAATTTTATTAATTCAGTATTCTTCTACTGAGAGCAGTCAATAGACAGGTTTTTTTATATATGCCACATCATGAAATTGCTGCTATTTATTTTGGAGTGGAAATAACAATCATAAGCTATGCTTTTTTTGAGCCTAAGGCCAGTTTGCTACAAAGCCTTATTATATACAATTACAATTTGAATTTAGTCCAGAATTTTATCTAGGTAGCAAAAACATGCTTCCGTTAGAAGCCTATCAAGACTGTACTTAAGAGTTCTACACTTGCTGTCTCTTAGCTTTCAAGACAAGTATAAAATACTAGTTTTATTTTAAATTATTTGTAACCTGCCTACTTTGAAGATCAATTTCTCTGTACATTTATGTCACATATCCTGAAGAGGGATCTCCACACTGCTACTTTGTAAGGCTTCTTCATGGGAATATTTGAATAATTTCCACACTTACTCTAAATTATATTTAGGCTCATTTGGTCTTTTAGATAACACCTGTTTTTCCACTAGGGCAGATGAAGAAGGCAGAAAGCACCAACTGTCTATGAGCAATTCAAATTTCATGGGAATAAATCTTAGTTGCTGGACTAGACTGAGAAGCCAATTTTACTGCAAGTCCTTTTAACTTTTGCTGATGGTGTCCTATTAAAAATATCTTTAAAGCATGGAAAGGATATCCAAAATAGTGAATGATTGTAATTTTGGCTAGTATAAATTGAAATAGAGAGAGGTCAGATTATAAGAACCCAACCTGCTCTGAATAAACATCAGTGTGTCCTGTTTTGGCTGGAATAGAGTTAATTTCTTCTCAGTAGCTGGCGCAGTGCTGTCTTTAGGATTCAGTATCAGAATAATGTGGATAACACACTCACGTCTTCATTGTTGCTAAGTCATGTTTATTCTAAACCAAGGACTTCTGTGTGTTTCATGTTCTGCCAGTGAGGAGGTGCACAAAAAGCTGTGAAGGAGCATAGGCAGGACAGGTGATCTGAACTGGCCAAAGGGATATTCCACACCATAGAACATCATGCCCAGTATATAAATTGAGGGAGCTACCCAGAAGGGGCCAATTGGGGTTTGTGGGTAGGTTCTGGCATTGGTCAGCAGGTGGTGAGTAATTGTATTGTGTGTCACTTGTCTTTTTATTATCATTATTATTATTATAATTTAGTTTCAAATATTAGACTGTTCTTAACCTACAAGTCTTACTTTTGATTCTCCTCCCCATTCCACTGGGTTTGGAGGGGAGGGAGGTGAGCAAGCAGCTGCATGGTGCTTAGCTGCCAGCTGGGTTAAACCTTGACACAACAGTGCCATGGAACAGTCACTAAAGAAGCTTACAGTGGATAAAATAGGCGTGACCTCCATTGCAGACCTCTGCTGCAATATTTATGTTAGGTGCATGAGGAGGTGCAATCTTTCATCACCACAACTACAGAAACGCTTGTTTTAGATCCGGCTATTAGCAGACCACCACAGTTTTGCAGGTGCAGTCTATGTTGCTTTCCCAGGATTGCCCCTGTGTATACTAGGCAAGACTTATAGGAAAATGCAGGATTTATCAGAGCAGCTAAATATAAACCTGGTCAGCATTAGCTAAACATATACATTTGGCTACATGAGGTTAGCGAACTCTCTGTCAGAACCTGAAAAAAGAATAAATTGCCTGAAACTGTATACTTCTATAGTTTTCACTCCTACATGGTAAATGATATAGCATGACTATAGCATGTGTTAACAATAAAGGCATAAGCATTTCTACCATACATCCAATTTAACAGAATGACTGCAATTCACAACCTCTTAATCCCCCAGTTGCTTCAGAAAGGGAGGAGACAGATCATGAAGAGGTACTCACCCAGCAGTGTGCCTTCTGTCAGACACCAGGGGATGAGCCTTTCTGATGCACTGGCAAAGGCAATAGGGCGGAAATCAAACTAAGAGCTCACCATTTATCCTGTCCTCTTTTTGTCCGGCTTGGTCTTCACTTTTATATACACTAGGAACTGGAAAAAAACCAGACTGCCTCCAACTAGAATCCCATGAGGACATTTTTGCAGTAGTTAACATACTGTGTTAAAATTAGGCACCCACACAGTTCTAAATCCAACCAGTTGATTTAGATGAAAACTAACAAATGCCTTGCTCCAACCAGGATGAGTTAACTTGAGAGACAGTTCTGTGCCTAAACGAAAGCCAAAAGCGTGGGTGTACTTGATGTAGACACAAATGTTTTAACTGGGTAGCTCAGGTATGGGTAAGAGCATATAAGAGTCTCTATAGCAGCACAGACCTCACTGGAAACCAGCATTCCCTGACAGATTATGTTGATTCCCTTTTGACCATAGGAAGCAGTATGCTGCCACTTCTTAACAGGAAATTTCACGAAAGCTGACTAATTTAAAGCTTCTTCTGCTACATCTTCAATTCCATCTTTGGGTGCAGAAATAACCTTAGGTAACTCATCTGGCCCATCTTTCTACCTTTTTGTGACTGGAGGGTTCTGTGAATTTCTTTCTATAAGATACCACCTTTTTTTTTTTTTTCCCTTAGCTTTGAAAAATAAGACATAGTAAAATAGATACACTTGAAGAAAACACATTACCAGAACTTCAAACAGTGGGGTTTGGGGGGCGGTGAGGTTTTTTTGGTTTGGTTTTTGTGGGGATTTTTTTGTTTTCTTTTTTTGTGTTGGTTTTGTGGGGTTTTTTTCCTAGAAAGGAATTAAAGCAACCAGCCCCATCCACGACTTTCCCCCAGAAATCTCCCCAGAAAATCAAATATATGGCAACCGATCTTAAACAGCGTTTACACCTCTACACCCAGCCTGCGAAGCGAATGCAGTGCCCGGCGCGGCGGGGCCGCAGAGCTCGGCTGCAGGTGAGCGGCGGCCAGCGGGCTCCAGCGGAGCTCCCGAGGAGAGAGCGCTGCCGCAGGGTGCACGGTCCCCGGGGGAGGGAGGATTTTGACACCCGAAATCTCTGCCGCTCAGGACGGCGCTGCACCCACTGTGCTCAAATTACGAGGCGTCTAATTACCTTTTGTCTTGGCTTTCGCCGGCAGGGACGCGGAGCGCGGACACCGGGACGCGGGCGGGCCGCTCCCTCGGCGGGCGCAGCCCGAGGCCGCCCCGCTGCCCTTCCCGCCGCAGCCCCGTCCGCCTCCGCCGGGCGCGGCCCCCCCGCCGCGCCGAGTGTCGCCCCGGCTCCCCGCCCAGCCACCCACCCCCTCCGCCGCCTCCGCCTCCTCCCAGAGGCCCCCGGCCCCCTCCCCAGCCGCAGCCCCGGCCTTCCCGGCGGCAGAGGCAGCTCCAGCACTCCCAGGTACCCCCAGGTACGGGTCCCGCCAGGCCCGGGCGCGGAGGGCGGACGGGACCCCGCGGGCGCCGGGAGGGATTGGCCGGGCGGCGGGGGGAGGCGGGCGGAGAACATGGCGCCGGGGAGCGGCGCGTGCTGAGCGACCGGAGCCGGGCCGGGCGGCGGGGCAAGGCCGGTGCTGGCGGCGGGGCCGCCAGGGCTATGCGGCAGCGGCTGTGCCCTGTGCTGAGCCGGGCTCTGCCGGGCTGGGCGCGCCCCTTGGCCGCCCCGGCCCCGCGCTTCTTCCCTCCGGGCCGGCGGCGCAGCTCTTTCGGGTACGGTGCGAGTGCGGCGGGGCCGGGCCGCGGGACCCGGCGCCGTGTGACCCGGGGCCGGGAGGCCGCAGAGCCCCCGCAGGGTTGTGTAAGAGGCGGCAGTGGGGCGGGGGCACCTTGTGCGGCGGGCGGGGAGCTGAGGGGGCTCGGGCCGCGGAGGGGGACTGGCGGCGGAGCCTTCGCGGGAAGCTGAGCTGGGGGCGGCGGGGCCGGGTGTGCGGGGAGGCCGGAGTCCTGCCCTGTGTCCTGCCGTGTCCTGCCCTGCCGCTCGGGCTGGCGTGCTCCGGTGTCTGCAGCTGCACCTCCCTTGACAAAGCAAGCTTGGTCATCAGCCGTGCGGCTTTCCTTGCCCGGGGGCTTGCTTTATTGTTCCCTTCCTTCTTGGAAAAAAAACCCCATGAATTTTCATGTTACTTGCCATGACTTCCTAAGCCTTAATTGTGGAAGAGGAAAAAAAAAGTAAGTTTAAATTCTTTAAGAAGAAACTGTTATCAGTCACCCAAAGTTGCTGGGAGCGGCCTCTTCAGTTTGTGACGAGGCGTCTGGCGCTGGCATTGTGCGGGGCTTGTTTTTGTGTGTGTGTGTTACCAGTGTTACCAGCTCCGGTGGGGACAGAGAAGTAACCTCGATCGAGGGAGGAGCGGGCGGGAGGCTTGGCATGGCTCGCTTTTAAGGGGCAAATTAATCTGCGTAACAACTCGGCAAAGTTTTTCCAGGAAGGCCAAGTTGTTTTCTTTCTTTCATTAATACTGTACCTTAGTAGCCAAATCTATTTTTAACACTGCACAAGTAAGATGCTACGTCAAAAGTAGAATCTTTCCGGGGAAAAAAGTGAGTTATGATGACTCATACTGTCAGTGCTTGCGTGTCAAAATTCGGATGCACCGTTATTGTTCATTATTGCTATTTATGCTTCAGAATTGTAAAGGTAATCCACAGTGCATATTCGGAGCCAATGATTTTTCTCAGGCTGTAGTTTCTCCTTCTAGATTACTCCTCTTGAAGCGTGTGAATATATGCAGTATTTGGACTTAACTTTATGTATGTGAGTAGGCCTGTTATGTTTTCATGCTGCCTACAAGCATGATTTAATCATCTGTTTAATTTTAATTGTGAATTAGGATTTACATAAATGATAATGAAAAGAGAGCAGGCATAGTGCTTTCATGTGATGATTTTTTTAAGATGTGGAAATTAAGAATTTTTTTTTCAATTACATGTTCTGTTTCCATTTCTGTATTTTGTTCATGTTTTCACCTTTTTTCAGCTTTAACTTTTCATAAAATTTTTAACCTTCATCTGCATGTCAAGCAGCAAGATAATTTCACAGTTAGAACTTCTTATCTGCTTTTTGTCTCGTGTGTGGCATTGAAGTGATCTGTTCTAGTTGGAAAGAGGTGAAGGATTCATGTCCGTGTTTGCATGCTTTTTTGCTCCCTTTTTTCTTTCTGTCTTCGGTCGGTGTAAAGCTGTGTGTTAATCCCATGGATGAAATGGTACCTTCGGGAATTGATCAAACTGTCAAGCACATAACTTACTTTGCACATGAATACAGAAGGATTCCCCTACCCTGTTAGGTCCAGAAGAAAGAGGGAAGGGACAAGTTGTTTAGTACCTCCAGTGTTTCATTGAACTGGAAGGTATTAGGCCCCTAGCTAGGGTTCACTGCAGGTTACTGTAGAAATGATTTACTGAAAATACTGTCAGACCATTTGAGAGATCACATATTAAGTTGATATTTTTTATATATTACTTCTATTGTATTGTATTAGATGCTTTTATAATAATTTTGGTATATTGATCTTTTAACAAGATAGAAATCATAAAGTTTGTAATAAAAATCTAGAGAAATTGCTTTAGTTGGTTTTGCATCTGGTTTTGCATTTGCATGTGCACGGTCTGTCAATGCACATCTTTGTTTTCAGTTTTTGTGATGTCCCTAAGTTGATAAAATATGCTTATGAGATAGCACTGTGTATATGTAATAAGGTGATTTTTGATGGAGCTTGTTTGAAAGTTGCTTTCTGTTAAGGTCTGACCTTCTGCAACTTGTTTTTAGAATGAGTTACATATTGCCTGAACAACTGAGATGGAAAAAAATGCTGTAAAGTTGAGAGTTTACTTACAGGGTTAGCAGTAGAACTAGAATTGAATTGTCCAAAATTGTAAAAACTAAACTAGCAAATAGGTGAACAGCCAGGACTTCCTTTGTTGAAACACACCCCTGACTCCTGTAAACTGCTCCTTGTTATGGGTTTGTTGGTTATGTCAGAGCTCTAGTGTCAGATAAGCAATTGCTTTTAATGTGGGATTACAGTGCTTTTAATGATACAGAATTCTGAAGTGCTCTCTGTTTTTGTTGATAGATCAGATTTTCTTGCCAGTTCTCTCATCTTTCTATGTATTACTTGGTGTTATGCACAAGTTTTAGTCTCATCTTGGTTTTTTTTTAATTCAGACCTCACAAGTTTTTCTTTTTGAGGGTATAAGACAGATGGTAGCATAAAGTATTAAATGAGTTGGCTTTACAAAGAGTTTTGGGCAATCTGATGTGCTACTTGTAGATAAAATCTATGAAATACACATTAAGATACTGTTAGAATAAAGCACAGAGGTCTTTCCTATAGCATCCAGTTTGATGTTCCCCACTGTGTGTGCAGGGTCATGCACCAGACACCACCACTGTACTGGGGTTGTGGACTAAACCCTGCAACTGTAGAGTGATGAAGGAAAAATGTCAGGGAAGGAGGAAGAGACTCAGAACCCGCTGGTTTGCAAGTATACAAGGCATAAAACAATTAACTGAATTAATGAGTACATTTCTGAAGCAAATGTGTAAAATACATTTTCAAGCAGCTGGTCATGTAGCACAGAAACTAGTCTGATCAGTCTTGTTCTTAACACTCAGTTTGAGACTGATGAAAATAATTGTAAAATCCACATTTGTGAAAATTCTGAAGATCCTATATTATGATGACGTCTAAAAATTGAAACCAGATAGTTTTACTTAAGTTTTTAAAAATTCTTAAATCTTTCAAATAATCAAAGGCTTCAAAACCCTTTTGGAATTTCCCTAGTTTTCAGCAATCTTGTAAAAAATTGAAGTGAAGAATTGCTAGGAAAAGACTAATTTTAATTGTTTTATTTGTGGTGAACATGGTTAAAGCTTGTTTACCTTGGAGGTTGTGTTTGGATGAATTGTTTGGGGCAATTTTCAAGGAGATAGGAAAAGTAAGTTCAAGTGTTGTAGAGATTTTAAAAAAAACTTCTTATCTTTATTGCTGTGTGTAAAATCAGGTTGTATAAAATCCTCCCTTTTTGTTTGATTTTTTTTACCCAGTGCTTTGGAAACTGGAGTGGTCAACTTAAGGAACATAGATTTAGGGCAATAAATCAGCTTTATGGTGTCTTTATTGTATATCCCATCTTGTTTGACTAACACAAGACTGTTGAAAGCACACATCATTTTACTTCTCAGGCCAATTGCTTGATCTTACATGCGAAGCCACCAGGCCCTTGTTTTTGCCAAGTTCACACGTGGTATTGTCTCATTAATGCTACTGGTAATTCCTGTACACCAGTGTTACACACCAGTGTTTCTGCTGTCACGTTGGCAGTGAAGCCTGTGGCAGACCAAGTTTTACTGCTGTGATCTAGAAGTTGTAGAAGCTGGATTCTTTTGAGAACCAGAGCAAGGCAAGTGTCTGCCCTGGCCACCATCATTAGGAGGGAATTTTCTGAATCCATTATAGACTTGGCAAAATGCTGCAGACTGAGGTTCTGAAAATGCTTTAATTGTAACTTGAGTTTAGAATTTCTTCAAAATAAACTACATAACAAAACCTTATAAATATTCATCATCTTCAAACTTGCCTGATTTGGCATGATTAGTTGCTCTTAATAACTTGGTAGCACTGATTAAGTCATTGTGGGTCTTTGTAGTTGGAACCTTTGTGTATGAAGTAGTATGCTGAATTCCTGATGAGTTTAAAAATGATAAAATATGTTAACATTTTAAGCAGTTTATCTACTTATGCAGTCTGTCTGCCTGTGTATGCAGTTAGAATTATTTAGATCAGTATCAGGAACGTGTTGGGATCTCATGCATTCTCTAGCTTCATGACAAGTAAATTCACAGAAGATTGATGCTTCATGGATGTTGAATAATGTGAAGTATTTTA